TAAGGTATATTGTAATGTGATATTATAAACACTATAAGTAGCCAATGAAAGCTTATTATTTAGAAGTAGTGATATCCGATGTATTTGAATAAAAGTAAAGTCATATAATATGCATCCAAAAATAAAGGAATGTTAACAAAATGGAAACCTATAGCTTGTATATAACTGCGTGTAATGCAAATGCAGCGAAGATACATTCAAACTTTCAGTCGTAATGTATATATACATGTTAATACTATTATTCCCCCTTTTATGAGTTGAGTAACCTTAATAACATCTTTTCATACCCCTGATGCTTTTCTCTGAAGTCAACAGCATAAAATATTTTGAAATGATCATCTATTCAAATACTAACCGTGCCAATCATTACTTAACTTTAGTGACCTACTTTACTAAACACAAGAAATACTTTTTTTAACAAGATAAGACTGTTGTCATCATTATATATATTATAAGGGGCACTCCACGTCAAATCGACCACTTTTGACCTCGCCCCTTTCGATTTTGCTGAAACCTTTTTATCATTTTTAACTTCATTAAAAAACTTTTTGAAAATTTTTGAAGCATTGAAGCAGAACCATTGATTTAGATCATTGGCAGCTTTATTGTAATTATCATTTGGCGAAAACTTCACCGTTATTGTTGCAAAGGGTGTTTATTTGTAAGGTATTATTCTCTCTTATTCTGAAAAATATACTATTTGTAAATTATTTAAGCGACGAAGAAAATCTAAATAAATTGTTAATTATATTTACTTGAAAAATTGATCAATAATGCACTGCAATTTTTTTTGTATTTATTTTTCGATAGTATATAATTAAACTAAGGTCATTAAATACATTTAAAAATATTTATATTTACTTAATTAGGTTTATTTTAGTATAAAAACAAAATTAAATAAATGAACGAAATTTTAAAAGAAAAAATATCAAAATTTGAATAATTTAAGGTTTTTTCAAAAAAGCGAAATTTCTTATAGAATTTAACTTCAAATATTTTTTTTGTATTTTTTTCAAAAAGTACATTTAAAAACAAAAAATTTGAAAAAGAAAACGTTCCAGTAAGTCTATTTTTGACAATTATGGCTATTTGAAAAAAAAATGGAACGAAAATTTTGAATTTTTGAAAAGTTCATAACTTTTTTTGGGTTGGGCAAAAAAATTTGAAAAAATTTTCAAAAAGTTTTTTAATGAAGTTAAAAATGATAAAAAGGTTTCAGCAAAATCGAAAGGGGCGAGGTCAAAAGTGGTCGATTTGACGTGGAGTGCCCCTTATAATATATATATTTATATATAAAAAAAAATACATTATTATGAAGACAATACATATGTTATGACATACCTGTTGTAAGGATGCATCAATATTTTTAAATAGTTGGTGTTTCTTGATATAATTATTATCATTTTGTTCTAACATAATAGCATATTGACTTGACGAATAACGAGCACGTCCTTTACTTTGCATATAAGATCGGAAGTCTGTTGGAAGATCAAAACGTACTATAAGTGTACAAGTAGGTATATCAACCCCTTCATCAAGAACATCTGTTGATATGACACAATTACTTAATCCATTTCTAAATCTGTAACAATATTATAATATATATTTATATTGTAATAATATAATATAGTATTTTAACTAAATGTTAAAATTTGTAATCAAAGTGATAATATATACAAAATAATATAAGTAAATCATAAACCTTTGTAAGACTTCTTTGTTCCACTTAGAATTACATAAAACTTCTTTACTATTTTTGAAAGGATTTTTATTATACCCTACCATATAATCCGGAATTAAAAATTTATATTCTTCATCGGTAGCGTGTAAATCCTAAAATAAGCAAAAGAAAAGATAAGATTTAAAAAAAACGTATAACCGCAGGCAGATATTTTAATGTCATAACAATAGATCAATTAAAATAATTTCGTAAAATTTCTATAATATAAACAATACATTATAGAAATTTAGTCTGAATACTGTAACTTACATTTAAAAAATAAAACAATTAGAACAAAGATATTAAAAGATAAAATTATACAATATTATTTATTAGATTCAAAAGATAAAATAAACAAAATATTTAAAAAAATAAATTCGATAAAAACATTTTATTTTAAATTGACAAATTTCAGTTATATTTTTTTTTTTGAATGAATAAACTAAAAATGTTATTTTTAATTTCATTCCTTACCTTCAAAATAAGATACAATACTTTAGCTGTAAATCTACGTTTTACAAAAATAATGCAACAGAATTTTTGATCGAGTAACCTATTGTCATTGAAATGTTTCAATAATCTGATAAGTTTAAGAACATGATCTGATACAAATCTGTAATTTATAAAATCATATTTATATATATAAATTAAAAAATATAAAAAAAAATATGTTAGAAGAATAAAATATTTTAATAAAAGTTTTAATATATGCTTACTTGATTATCTTATGTTTATCTGTATAATCTTTCATTTCATCGTCCAAAATTTTTCTTACTTTAAATAATTCAGTTATCATATAATCAAAGACGAACATTGTTTTCTGGAAATAAATAGCACATTAATTTTATATTTGCTATACCGATATAATTTCATCTTCTTAATATACATACATGATCCTCAATGGTCCTCTTTTTGTATTCTAATTGGATTAAATGTAATAAAATACACTTATTAACCCCATATATACCTGGAAATAAATTATTTATAAATAATAAATAATTAACTTTATTTATATATTATTTATTTCAATTATTGACCATAATTACCTGTCATTTCCACATGTTCTATAACGTCTTCAATAACGGACTGAAGTTTTACATTGATTGATTTTGGTTTAAACTCTTTACTTGATCTATTGGAGTCAAAACAACATGGTAAAGACAAAATATTTAAAAATTCTTTTACTTTTTCCAATCTTTCAATAGATTTGGTCAAAATTTCTGGAGTAATATATTTTTCATAGTAAACAAAAACTTCTTCCGGGTTCGTAGAATATCCCTGTACATTTCCTACTGTTGCTATTTTTGAATGAAATGTTATTTCTAAAGTCTGTAATATAAAATGATTTGTATCGCAGATTCATTCATTTTTATATTTTTTTTTGATATGTTGATAATTTATAGGGTGTAAGATTCTCTCATAACTTAATGTTCATTATTACCTTTATCGAATCTATAATATTAGTCAATTTGACGTTAGAATTAAGTAAAGTTGCTGACAATGCTAATATTCTAGGTTGCTCTTTAGTATCACATTGTTCAAATTGCTGCATAACTTGTCGCATAGGATGGTCATTTACTGCTCTGTGACATTCGTCAAAAATAATTAAATTAATTCTATTTAAATTTAAGTATCCGTGACAAATAACATCTACCAGTATCTGAGATGTCATTACTAAAACCTAATAAATATTTCGAAATTATATTATTCAATTAACGAAAAGAAGTATATAAATGTGTAAATATTATACATACTTGATGTTCTTCCAATTCATTTAACCATATTTCTTTTGTCCAATAATCGACATTCATATCACCACAATATCCCTTACACGATAAACCTGTATGTCTTGCAATATATTCAGATTGTTGCATTACTAAAGGTACTGTATTAACTGCAAATATTGTTCTCTTACCACCTTCGCTATAAGGTCTAAGAAAAGAATATAAAAGCTTATTTTTAGTATGTTATTAACATACTAATGATGATGAATAAAATTAATCAAAAGAAAGCAAAACAAAATAATTATTACATACTTCTGTATAGCTGTACTTAATCTTTTAAGAAGCATCATTGCTATAAATGTTTTTCCCGAACCAGTCGGCAGATAAATAATAGTATTAGATTTCAATGCTATTTCGTAAAGATCTATTTGATATGGCCTGGCGACGAATTCCACCCCTTCAGTTTCCATTTTTGTACTGAAACATAAATCAAAGTAAATAATAAATCTTTATAGTTTGAAATTTTAACCTAAAAATAATGAAAATATGAATAATTGTCAACTGACTTGACTACTTCTGTGTTATCCATAATTAGTGTAATATATTTATAAAAATGAATATATTACAACCAAACCGAATAAACATTTATTTACCCTTGCCAATTAAACTTTTTGTTATGAGTTTTAATGAAATGAAAGTTCTAATTTAACAAAAAACCAGGGATACCCAACCAGGGATACCCAATATTATTGATTACCGACTCAGTGATCCCAGAGACTTTAGTTCGTCTGATCGACACAGGGGCGTAAAATTATCATACGCCCCGGGAGAATTTGAAATCCGACAATTTCTCGGACGAGATTTTCAAAATGTGGGAAAAGAGTGCAAGTTCCAACTTTTTTTTTTTTTTTTAGTCTTCAAGTTCTAAACCTTATCGTAAAAACGGTAAAAACGGCGTACGGCAGGGAGGAAGACTCGTTCGTACAGAGATCGTACACGGATCGTGGTGGTGGTGGTGGTGGTGGTAGGGGTGGTGCTGCACCTTGACCAAAAAGGTCATCAAGTTTTCGAAATTCCAAATTGGATCGTACACCATGAATTTTGGATCGTACAGGGCCTCAAATTATCGTACGAATGGGATCACTGTACCGACTACTAACGATGTTATTTGAATCAAAGAGATTTTTGGGAGCCAATCATAGAATTAAAAAAGTTCCTATTTTTCATATTGCTGAAATTTGAATATGATTAAATGGGATATGATTTTTTTCATATTTTTACTTGATAAAACGTAAAAAAAATAAATACATATAATAACTATTATATAAAAAAATACATAAGAAAAATATTTAAATAATATTAATCTTAGAGTACTATTTTTTAATACGTCATATTGGTAATTTAAATATTACTGAAGATATTTTAAGTTACCACCACTGATTGCGACTATTTTGTAAAAAAAATAAAAATAAAAAAAAATAAAAGAAAATAAGAAGAGTACGAATAAAAATAGTAAATAACACTTAGAATAATCCTTAAATTCATAAATACAACCATTTTATATTGCCATTTTTTCATATATTACTTGTATTTAGAGGTAAGCACTTCAAAACTTGTTTTGTATTTATTGGTATTAAAATCTTGGTGTATATAAATATTTGTTCTTGCAGTTTGCAGTTATAGTTTTCATCGTCTTACATTAAAAAAACCTTGAAAAGGAAAAACCAAAACGCACACAGATATTATTTACAAATAACAATTATAGATATAATAAAAAAATTTGTTAACAATTGATCAACAAAAACTTTGGTTTACCATTTAAATGGTGATTTTTGGACTAACTATAGAAGTTCAGGTTGTATGAATACAAACAATGATATGGGTGCATATATCATTAAATGGAATTCAATAATTGATCAATAATAGAAAGAATGCTTTAAAATGCATAAAAGCCTAAAAAAACTTTTATCTATGAAAATAATTTTAAAATGTCATTTATGTTCGAATAATAATTTCATGTGACAAATTAAAGTCATTGTAAATGTATATAAGTTAGACGCAGAATGACATCAGCAGTTTATCTTGGCAGTGGTGGTATTCTCCATCGTGCATTAATATTTATGTTAAAACTAGGATGGAAATCAAGATTTCGTTTACCAGTATTAATTATTGTAGCTTTTGTTGCTTTGGATATCAGCATGCAGCTGGAAATTGCATTAGAGCATGAAAATGGTACAGAACATACTGCTCATTTATGATTCTTGAATAGAATCTTCTTGATTTAAATTTATTGGATGTTAAACAATACTGTACGTATGTGTCATATGATTCATACGATTATTATTTTAGTTCGTTATATTTTGTAATAATACTGTGTATTTTTTATATTCTTTCAAATAATAAGATATATATATATATATATATATATATATATATATATATATATATATATATATATAT